TTGGAATAATAGACTACATCTCTTAACAAAATGGCTATTCTAAATCCTATATATCTATCCTAATTTCTATGAAAGTTTCCAATTCCTAATTCTAATATATAAAGCTGATTAGCAGCAGTAAAGCTTTCAAATATAAACTGTAAATGTACTAAGGCCAAAACCATGATAGTAGAAAATGGAGACAATGAAATTTCTAAAGTTAACTATATTCTTATTAAACCTAAAAATATCATGTTTGATTATGCTTAAACTAACATGATTCCTTGATGTAGTATGACCTATTCAACCGTACCTTTTATGAATAAAATAAATTCAATTTCTTTAATAGGTAGACAAAAGACCTTACATTAACTGTAGCTAAAGCCGGCCTAAAAGAATGCAACCCAGTCCAAAGAACGCGCTGGGCTCTCAGGAATGTGGCCCAGCCCAAACTCTGTGCTGGGCCACTCTTGATAATCATCTATACCATTGAAAAGCTGAAAACAGCTCTCTATAAGTATGTACTCATTCTACAAATATTCTTTTAAATCTTATAAAGAAGCTTGTACCGTATAAAAGACTCCCAAATGTGACCTGAATTTGAATTATATCTAATACCTAAGCCTAAACCACAGTTTATGGGAAACAGGAGCAATGGGTTTCTAGAGTGAGCTATGCCTGTCACAGTCACAGAGCCTTCAGCTTAGGCCAGCAGGGTTCCTTTAGGTTGTTTCTGTGCTGCATGGCAAAAGGGGAGGAAAATGGGGTCTATGGCTCCCGAACACGTCCTAGCGGTCTCGGGATCCACAGCCCTCCCTGATCCCTAACGCTCAGTGGGCTTCCGTGGTCAGCTCCCAACAGGTAGATACTTAATTAACATTTGTTGAAAGAGGAATGAGGTAGGTATAATCAGGTTTGCTCCTTCCTGAACCAGTGATCTTTGAACAGGGCCTTGGCTTGGAAGTTATCAGATCTGTAATTCTGTTTGCTCCTTGAGCTTTACTTAATTAACTCTACAGAAACTAAAATCTACCAAGCAATAACATTGCACAGTAGTTCATACGACTTCAGATAGTGAAGAGATAAAAACATTCATTATTATATTACTTTAAAAATAATAACCACTGATAAATGCACACCCACTAAAAGGGGTACTGTTACACCTGAATAATGAACATTTGTATACATAACCCTGAATTGTACCCCACATCTTTAAAATAAAGAAAAAAAGGAAAACACAATGATGAACTTTGCAGCAACCCAGATGGAGTTAGAGTCTATAATACTCAGTGATTTATCACAGAAACAAATATCTGAGTACCATATGTACTCATAAGTGGACCTTGAACATTTATCATAATACTATAAGAAACGGATTGGCAATAGTGGGACACTCCAAGGGAAGGGTGTCATATAACATCAATAAGGGTACCCACACTTTACCTGTATGATGACCACGTACGTACTTAACCCCCATTTGTACCCCATATTTTAAAAATAAAATAATTAAAGATAAAAATAAAAGGGGCACTATTTTTAAAAAGTGGTGGGATTGTAAAGGAATTGGAACCCCTGTATACTGTGAGTGGGAGTGTTAAATGGCACCATTGTTGTGGAAAATAGTATGGAGTTTCCTCAAAAAAATAAAATAGAATGACCATATGATCCAGCAATTTCACTTTTGGGAACACATCTAAGAGAACTGAAAACACAGTCTCGAAGAGATATTTGCACACTTATGTTTATAGCAGCATCACTCACAATAGCTCAAATGTGGAAGTAACCCACCTGTCCATCAATGGGTGAATGAATAAATAGAATGTGTTATATATATACACAATGATACATTATTCAGCCCTAAAAAGGAAGGACGTTCTAACACATGCTTCAGCATGGCTAAACCTTGAGGCCATTGTGCTAAGTGAAATAAGGGAGTTGCCAAAGGACAAATACTGCATGATTCCACTTACGTGATGTAGGTAGAGTATTCAAACTCACAGAGACAGAAAGTAGAATACGAGGGTGGAATATGTAGTTGTTTAATAAATATCAAGTATTAGCTTTGCAAGACTTAAAGAATTCTCGAGATTGGTTGCACAACGTGAGTCTACTTAATACTGCGAAATTGTACACTCAGAAGTGCTTAAGATGTTATAGTTTACATTGTATGTATTTTTACCACAATTTAAAAGATATTTACCACTGAAGTGTATGCATCCGTTATCTCTCTTGATCCTTACAATAAGCCTGAACTAGTGTTAGAAATATAAGTTTAATTTTGTGGTGAGAAAAATAAGTCTCAGAAAAATGAAGTGATTGCCCAAGGCACATAACTAGAAAATGGCTAAGCTGAACTTCACATTCAGATCTCCTGATTCCATGCCCAGAACTGGCTTCTGCCACATCAGGGGAGAGAAAGTGTCATTGAATTAACTTGTCTTCTGGTTAAAGCATAAGAAATCAGCCCTTGGCAATTTGTGGAGAGAGTTATCAATGTGTGTGAGGGGCATGTGAGTATGTGGGTATGCATGAGAGACAGATAGAGACCATGGAGAAGGGAGGAAAAAGGAGGGAGTTTTCAAGCAAACTTCCAGACACCTGTGTCATGCTTCTTGTCCCATTTCCCTCCCTTCCTAAATCAGAGGGCAGGTGTGAGTCAACTGTAAACAGTGAGAAAAGGTCATCCAATCTTCCCTCAGCTGGCAAAATCAGAAGTCACTGCCATGGAGATGTTCTGTGTACATGAAATTAAAAACCTTTAAGGCTCTTACTTTTTGAAATGGCTCCATTAGATATCCTCCTACCTTGTGTAAAGGGAAAAGATGACAAAATGCATTTAATTAATGAGGTGTATTGAGAAAAAGAAGGAGCAGTAGGAAAAGCGTAGAGTAAGAGTCAAGCCTAAAGCTACCTGGCTGGACCACCAAACAATTCACTGTGTAATTCTAGGCATGCCCCTTTCTCTGCTGCATCACTACTGCCATTTTTATATACTGACTCAAAAGTTTACAGCAAGAGGTTTATACTGACTTGAGCCATATTTGAAGGAAAGAACATACTTTCTCAATGGAAGTTAAAAATACAAGGGTATCATCTGGCTTCTTATAAAGAGCTTTTATTTCAGTGTAGTTTTAATTTGTATCTCCTTAATAACTAGTGAGGTTGAACATTTCTTCATGTATCTGTTGGCCACACATATGTCTTCTTTTGAGAAGTGTCTGTTCATATCTTTTGCCCACTTTGTAATGGGGTTGTTTGTTTTTTTTCTTTTCAGCACGTTTGAGTTCCTTGTAGATCCTAGATGTTAAGCCTTTGTCAGGCATGGAGTTGGCAAATACTTTTTCCCAGTCTGTGGGCTGTCTCTCTGCTCTCTTGGTGGTTTCTTTGGCTTTGCAGAAGCTTGTCAGTTTAATGAGGTCCCA